CTTTTACATAGCACCATTACTGTCAAGGTCATATCCCAACTTTTCAGCTTTACTTGTGGAGGAAGACATCAGGTGAACCTCTTCGGATTATTTAACACATGAACGGACACCTGAACAGAACCACTAAGATTCCTTAAGCTAGTTGGATAGTTTCCCCACATAAATGAATTATAAAGTCCTTCGCAGGATTCATACTAACAGCGGTGAGGGAATAGAAGTTTGAAGTCAATGACTATAACAACTCGGCCACGGTAACCACGACTACAAGCAATGGTTTTGCATGAGATATATCTTCTCAGTATGCTAAACATTGTTGAATAACTAAGTCAAAATCATTGACCATCTATTCACAATCATATGAAATTTAGTCTGTGACCTTGACATTTGACCTACAAGGCTGGGTTTGCATCGGACAAAAAAAGGACAGACAAATGGACAATTAATAAAACAACAAGATCAATTAATGAAAAGACTTTTAATTATTGCACACAAGGCAACTGAAGTGTTTTCTATCCAATATAAAATTGATGATAATTCAATAATACATACATACATTTCTACATATTTCAAAAAACACGAGCTTGATTAAAAGAAATAATAATCATATAAATACCATTTAAATATCTTAATAATAAATTTACAAACAGAAAAAAAACAACTATGTACTCCTTATTCATATATATTTTCTTCTAAATCCAACTAAATTATGTAATTTTTTTACACAAAACTTCAATGATTTTTGACGACTCAAGACTAGGAACAACTAAAGTCATGTCAAACAAAATGTTTTCTGGTACAAATTAATATAAAGTTTTAACAAAATGTTTTCTGGTTCCCTTCAAAAATTAATAAAGTGGAACAGTTATTGACATTAATATGGTAATAAAAGACGTTTCTATTGTCAGGAAATGTCTCACCTGATCTATGAAATTCGGTTCTATCTAGTGGTCATTTACATATTTATATAAATTGCATATTTGTTTTTAAATTTAACAAGAGTTCAGTATAATTAAAATATATCATATTGAACACTGGGTAAAATTCTGAGAAGTGGTACAGTATTTTTCATGTATATCAAATTGAACACTTGGTAAAAAAAAAAAACTTAAAATGACTGCAAGTATGTCACTAGTGATTCAATACTAATTAAAGCACTAACCTGCTATATCTCACCAACAATCTATGCATATATAAATGTATTTACAAATTTCAGACAAAATTTTGAAGAAATAGAAAAACACAAAAACACGTTGTTTTTTTTTTTAAATTACTGACAAAATGTTTTGTAAAATTTTCAAAGTCTTTATCATATAAAAATTGAATGTTATTTAAAATATAAATTTTCAGTCATATTCTGTGTATATTTTTCATACTATAAATAGTCATTATGCCATCCAAAAGTCTTAAAATAGATGTTAAGCAATTCAAAGTGAATTTTTAAAACATGCACACAGTACAAACAGGAATGCAGTTAAGTAATATAGATAAACTAATGCTGTTATATTGTGAATGCTAACTTCCATAGCATAGCAAAATCAACAAATTTTGAAACAAAGTAACAAAGCATTACTAAAATAAACAATGTATCATATCATACAACAATCAATTGACCTGAGTGGTCGAAATAAGCACTAGTCTGACAGCAAAAAAACAAACCTAGAAGATTCTCTGTCAAGCTAGTAAAATATCCAAAATTTACAGTGAAAATTATTAGTGACTTGGCCAGACTTGCTTGTAAATTTTAATCATAATTCTTATTGACTGCTGGCCGGAGTTGTTTGTAGATTTTAATTATAATTCTTATCGACTTCAATTCTGAAAGGTATTTAACTTATTAAACAAAATAAAGTACTTAATTCTATCAGAATTCTAACAAAACACCATTCCTGTGCTGGTAGACTCGTGCCATTTCTATCTGCTAAATAATTCAATTCATAAAACACTGTTTATTTATTGTCTTTCACTGTTTCCCTTAAAATTCATTAGACATAGTGTTTAAACAGTTACACTTTATATCAGATATACTTAAAACTTCCCAAAATCCTCTGAATACTTTGATATAAATTTCAATAGAAAATTTGTTTTTTGACTTTTTGAAATATATTCAATCTATATATATTTTTTTGAGGATTTGTTTTTGGGACACAATCTCTACTTGCACCGGGTAATATTGACATTCACAAGGTCATCAATTCAATAAGCAAATGGAGTGAACAAAGATTTTTTTTTGCACCTGGGTGTTTTGATAATTAAACGAAACAGAAATAAGCAACATTTGTCAAATATTCAGATGGTTATAATAAACCTATTAACCTTAAATTTCAAAAATTCACCTTAATTTATGACAACCTTTGTTAATTTTAACAAAAGGAATGTTTCAGAGTAAAGTTATGATGTCATGTTACAAGTGATAACTTACACATTAGCAACAATTAACATATAAAAGCAACAAAGCAAGCAATAAATGAAGACAATACTAAAATCAGTGCTTATGTCTTAATCCAATCAAGAAAAAAAAATATTTTATTATTATTTAAAAAGTTTTTAAGTACCTTTATTCCTGAATAGCTTGGTACTTAAAGATAATCATAATTTTAAGTTTAGACCTTTACATTTCAACAATGTAACAACACAGTAATTAATGCATAGGAATATGTTATAAAGTTAGTAATATTTGTTAGTATCTTATTATCAATATAATTAATTCATCTTAATAATCATTATGATTTATTAGATAATTTTGTATTCACCAATTGACTAATTCTAAAGACAAAACAAAATTTAATGCCCGTTAAATAATAAAATGAAGTTATAAATGTTAATGAAAATAAAATATGGTTCATACATATTTATATAGTTATATTAACCCATTGCTTCATGAGCATTTTGTGAAAAATGGCTGTTTTCATTGAAAAGTCTCCCGTTACAAGTTCAAATTGCTATAATACTATAAAAACTGCTTCAACACTAATCAAACTTGGCACAAATGTTGACTGGACCATTGCCCTTGCAACAACATGCTCAGGCTTAAATTTTCTGTTACCATGGCAACGAGGGGACATCTCAAAATTGCCAAAAATCACTATTTTGCGTTGATTTTTCCATCAAAATTGATTTCAAAGTGCTGCAACTTCTCAATGGATTGAGATAGAGTCAAATGCTTTTCAGCGTTGGTTACACGTTACCTTATGATCAATCTTGGGTCATTTACAGCCTCTCACAAGTCCAAAATTTTCTTGGCGATGAGGGGGGATCCGCCCCCCTTCAAACCCCCCAAACAGAAGGGGGCACATCCCCCTTCTGGCAACCCCCTGATGTATCTTTTGGTTGGGGGGCCGCGCCGAAAAAGAGGTCACTTTTTTTAACAACATTTCTCAAACAAAAACAAGTGTTGGGGGCCTAAATAAGGCATTTTTTCATCATTTGAGACAACAAAAAGGGGGGGGGGGGTGAAAAAGGCGTTAAAAGGCGTGTATATGAAGTAATGGGTTAACAGAAAATGATGAAAATACTTGAAATTACCCTAAATCGCGTTTTTTCATGTTTAAACATGGCCTGTCATATAAATTTGAAGAAAAATTGTTGTTTTGTAGATTTTTTTATTTTTTTCATTAACCCATTACTTCATGAGCATTTTGTGAAAAATGGCTGTTTTCATTGAAAAGTCTCCCGTTACAAGTTCAAATTGCTATAATACTATAAAAACTGCTTCAACACTAATCAAACTTGGCACAAATGTTGACTGGACCATTGCCCTTGCAACAACATGCTCAGGCTTAAATTTTCTGTTACCATGGTAACGAGGGGACATCTCAAAATTGCCAGGAATCACTATTTTGCGTTGTTTTTTTTCCATCCAAACATATTTTAAAGTGCTGCAACTTCTCAATGGATTGAGATAGAGTCAAATGCTTTTCAGCGTTGGTAACACGTTACCTTATGATCAATCTGGGGTCATTTACAGCCTCTCACAAGTGCAAAATTTTCTTGGCGATGAGGGGGACTCCGCCCCCCTTCAAACCCCCCCAAACAGAAGGGGGCACATCCCCCTTCTGGCAACCCCCTGATGTATCTTTTGGTTGGGGGGCCGCGCCGAAAAAGAGGTCACTTTTTTAACAACATTTCTCAAACAAAAACAAGTGTTTGGGGCCTAAATAAGGCATTTTTTCATCATTTGAGACAACAAAAAGGGGGGGGGTGAAAAAGGCGTTAAAAGGCGTGTATATGAAGTAATGGGTTAACAGAAAATGATGAAAATACTTGAAATTACCCTAAATCGCGTTTTTTCATGTTTAAACATGGCCTGTCATATAAATTTGAAGAAAAATTGTTGTTTTGTAGATTTTTTTTATTTTTTTCATTAACCCATTACTTCATGAGCATTTTGTGAAAAATGGCTGTTTTCATTGAAAAGTCTCCCGTTACAAGTTCAAATTGCTATAATACTATAAAAACTGCTTCAACGTTAACACTAATCAAACTTGGCACAAATGTTGACTGGACCATTGCCCTTGCAACAACATGCTCAGGCTTAAATTTTCTGTTACCATGGCAACGAGGGGACATCTAAAAATTGCCAAAAATCACTATTTTGCGTTGATTTTTTCCATCAAAATTGATTTCAAAGTGCTGCAACTTCTCAATGGATTGAGATAGAGTCAAATGCTTTTCAGCGTTGGTTACACGTTACCTTATGATCAATCTGGGGTCATTTACAGCCTCTCACAAGTCCAAAATTTTCTTGGCGATGAGGGGGACTCCGCCCCCCTTCAAACCCCCCCCAAACAGAAGGGGGCACATCCCCCTTCTGGCAACCCCCTGATGTATCTTTTGGTTGGGGGGCCGCGCCGAAAAAGAGGTCACTTTTTTAACAACATTTCTCAAACAAAAACAAGTGTTTGGGGCCTAAATAAGGCATTTTTTCATCATTTGAGACAACAAAAAGGGGGGGGGGGTGAAAAAGGCGTTAAAAGGCGTGTATATGAAGTAATGGGTTAATAGAAAGTTAAAAAAATTTCAACAAAATAAAGTATTTTTTCTTCTTTAAATATTTAAATCAATCTTTGATTAAATTCATTGGCACATCTTTGACAATGGAAATGTATTTACACTAAAAATTTTTCATATTTCTATCCTTTTCGAAAAAGATCATATAAGACTCTTTGTACCTACATTTCTTTTAAAGGAACTCCACTGTGGTCAAAAGCCTTAAAATGTAACATTTAATTTCTAACATAAATCAGCCGGGGCACTTAAAACAGAAAGATATGCAAATGATAATTAAGAAATATAAAAAGAAATAAATTGAAAATAATATTTTTTTGCTATTCTTAGCCCAATTTGAGTGGAAATCATTGCAACAATTTTTGATCATTTTTTCACATTAAGAATAATTATTCTGGAAAATTGAGCGATTGAATGATCCAAAATTTGGCACACAAGTTATTGGTCTAGACCTACATCAAATGGAACATAAATCTTAAAATATTATTTCCAGTCCTGTCATGTCAAGAAAACCTCAGTGGAGTCCCTTTATGCTATGGTATGTATTTTGTCAGACAAAAATTAAAGTTACATCTTCCAGCATAAAAGCGCTTACACTAGTTGACTTACACTTACATCTTTACTTATTTTGTCATTCTAATAATATATCCAGCACATGCATTGTGACTATAGTTTACATAAAATACAACAACAACAATATCTAAAGCAAAAACAAATAACAAAATTTCATTAAATGAACAGAAAATCAACAAAATATCATGAAATATATCACAATTAAACCAGGCTACAAATAGAATATATATTAACAATAAAGTATGTTAAAAAAGCACATTGTAAATAATTCATTCTTGAAAGAAAGTATGATAACATGATATACTTATAGCAGTGTGTTCACAGGACACTCATACCCCACTTCATTTGCCTGTCTTGGTTACATATTTACTTATGCATATTTCATAAAGGTCAATTTGTTATATTATTAAATAAAATATAATAATTATAGTAAGTTTCAAAACTATAACTCATGAAACTATATTGATTTAACAAGAATTTTACAGTAAGTTTCACAGTGACCTTGACCTATGACTTACTGACCTTGAAATCAACACTTCTGGCCACAGGCAATGTCCCTATGATATAAAGTTTGACAAAACCTAGACTAACTATGTCTCAATTTATTGACTAGACCAAGTTTCAATTTGACCTTGACCTATGACCTTATGATCTCATGTCGGTTCATCTACTTAACAAAGACCTTAGAATCAAAAGAGCACCCAATCACAGTAAGCTTTTTTTTTATTGGGGGCAAAATGATCAGGCCTTGTATTCATTCATGACGATAAAAATCTAGATCAAAGTTAGGTCTAAAATTTTAACCAATTTTTAAACCTGATTATTTTCACTTTACATTGGTGAAGTTCAAGTGGTGTAATGAAAAACTTGTCACATCTTTAACCCTAGTTACAACAGCTAAAATCAATCATGATTTGGGAATGTATTTTGACCAAACTCTAACCTAACAGCTGCTAAATTCTATTATTTTCGAACATCCCTTTCACTGATGACATACCGTACCAACTGTAAAACCTGGCAAGTTTGGTACAAAAACTTTAGCAGGATAAGTCCATGAAAGTTTAAGCAAGGATTAAGCGACAATAAAAAACAAAATTATAACAGCATGCCTTTCAAAATAAATATTAGAAATATGAAGTTTGCATAATTTTTGATGTGCATGTATTAATAACAACACAGCACTGTGCACTGTCTCAACTTAAGTTTTTAACTTCAGAAAAAAAAAATCATTTGAAAAAATTAAGCTTTGGGCAAGTTTATGGTGTACAAATCACAGTTCAATTGATAAAAACTTCATAAACATAGAATATCCTCATTCATTATTATGTTTTTCTTGACCATACAAGAAAAAAAATGTTTATTTCTGAATTCACCATTTGTCCTTCAATTTAGTAAACTTTTCAAACTAGAGATAAGTAGATTAAAATTTATGCTCCTGAAATGAAAATATTAATAACCTTACACCTGATACTGATGGATATGAAATTCTCAAATGCCTGAAAAAATGATGAATTAAAATAATAAACAAAACATTAATCCAACCCGTAAAATATTATATGAATAGGTTCCCAAATAAAAATTAATACACTGAAGCCTGTAATGTAATTGTGATGGAAATCTGAAAAATTCGACTCCTCTATGGATTGATATATAGTAACTGCCATTAAAGTTTGACAAACGAAAATAAATACACCAAAATTTGAGGAAATTCAGAAACAAACATTATTTTCATGACAAAATCATAAAAAACACTTCAGTTTTCACATTTAAAACAAGTCCTTAAAAAAATCATTTACAAATACAAATGAGCCGCGTCACGACAAAACCAACATAATGTGTTTGCGACCAGCATGGATCCAGACCAGCCTGCGCATTCGCGCAGTCTGATCAGGATCCATGCTGTTCGCTTACAGGCCCTATAACAAGTAAAGAAACTGGTAGCGAACAGCATAGATCCTGATCAGACTGTGCGGATGCTGGTCGCAAACCCATTATGTTGGTTTTGTCGTGACGCAGCTCAAATCATACATCATATCAAACAAGAGTATATAAAAATTACTACAAAATGAGTTCCCTTATAAAAGGTTGGAAATAGAATTTACAAATACATGTATTGTACATAGGTATGTTTAGAAATTCCATACATCAATGAAAGGATTTTTGTTACTAGATACTTGTAATATGACTGACAGACTGTCGGATGCCGGCGTCTGTGGATATATTCCAGAATTATCAAGTGAGCACAAAAAAAGTACACCCACACATGCCAAAAATAATTCTGTTTATTTAAATTAACATAATTTCAACCTCTCACATTTGACTTACCCCTCAATTTACATTCATTAAGGTAAAGGAAAGTTAAACAATCATTCTCATTAACATGTATATAATTTCTAAACATACCTACATTAATTCAACATTAAAGTTTCAATACCTTAATCACCTATTGTTCCATTTTTTAGACTACTCCATTTGATTTCTTTTCATCTTTTTTGCTTGGCTCGCTAAAAATGACATCACTTTCCGGGACATGAAATTCTGGCTCCTCCCCTGAACTACAACTACTCACATCTGTATCATCAAAACCAGAGTTATCTGCCCCTCCACTCGTTTCTATGACAGCATCAACACTGTGACTGGCTGAAGTTTCAAGACTCTCTTTCTGATTGGTCGAATCTTTGTTATCTCCATTTTGATTGGATGACTTAGGTAAAGATAAAAGTGGGTTGTTTTTAGAAAGATTGACATGCCTGACTCCACCCACAGCACCAATCTCAGAATCTGATTGGTCAGAATCATCACTGGAAGTGTGGCTTCTGTTCTCATTTACATGTGATACATGAGGTTGTCTAGCAGTTTGTGGTAACCCTGAAAACAGACAGAAGCTATAAATGCATTAACTTATTAAAGATTTATTCTAATTTCAGTTTAGTGCTATAATCGCACATAAGATTTGTTTTACTCATTGCCTTTATGTACCACTCCCCTGTTTCCATGGTAACTGTTGCATAACCTATATAACAATACCTAACTGGCATTCCTGATTTTTACAATACCATGTTCTTTTTTTTTTTTTTTAGAACTGACAGTAACAGTTCTGTGAACAGTAAAGTGCATCCTACTTTCATAACAACATGCAAGTAAAAAGATCTGGTTATTTTTTTTTTTTCTTTTAATAAAATATTCAAATGAACATGTCATGCAAGAAACAAAAAATAAATTTTGTATAAAATAATTTAAGATTTCTAACACATTATCATTACGTTTCATGCTTTTATATTGTATTTCACTGAAAATATCCAACAACTACTAGAAATGTGTCTATTATAGACAGATGCCCCCATTATTCCACTGTTTATTCAGGTTTATAAATAGTAAGTGTGACACCAGGACTGCAGGAATAATGGAGAAGGGCTTATCTACCTAAATGATAGCATAAAAAAGATGCATATTTAACACCATACCTGAGTTATCAAAAGTTGACCTTCTCTCACTGGACCCACTCGATCCTCCCGCCAGCAAGGGAGTTCTTTCTGAGGGCGAGTCCTCCTCACCCTCCGAGGTATCACTGTCACTGTCGGGGTCATCCCCCGGTATCACCTTACGTTTACAGATTGGACAACTACGCTTACTTTTTGTAAGCCATGGATCTATACACTTTGTATGATATACTGAAAATATTTAATACAAGTAATTCTTTATGTGCATACACATCCTTGTACCTACTAAATTGTATATCAAGTAACATACTGTTCCTGCTTTAAAATAAAAGTTTCTGTTAGATGTAATCAGATTTTCAAATGATTTCTGAGTTCAATTACTTAGAATTCTGAACAATATACATGCTGGCTAAACCATCTGACACAAGTTTCATATAATTCTTTAACTTGAATCACAAAAGTAAAATTATTTTTCTGACCATGTTGCATTTGTTTTTTCTTCCTTTACATTACATCCATAATTCATTTACCAGATTCTTTAACAATGCAAAGGTGAATCTGATTCCACTATTAAACTGTCTTATAAAGGGCACAAATAATAATTTCTGAGAAAGAAATATTGCAGCTATAGTGAACTTGAAGAAATACATAGAACACAAAAGGCAATCATGAAGTTATAAAGAAAGAGATAAAATGGTTACCATGGCTACAAGGTAAAAGTCTGAGTTTATCTCCTTCCTCGTAATCATCCAGGCATATAGCACACACATCATACTCATCTCCTACAATAGTCAATATACGTGCCGCGTTACGACAAAACCAACATAGTGCGTTTGCTACCAGCATGGATCAAGACCAGCCTGCGCATTCGCGCAGTCTGATCAGAATCCATGCTGTTGGCTATGAGTTTCTCTAAAAATATAATAGGGTTGGTAAGCGAACAGCATGGATCCCGATCAGACTGCGCGGATGCACAGGCTGGTCTGGATCCATGCTGGTCGCAAACCCATTATGTTGGTTTTGTCATAGCGCGGCTCAATTGTGTACTTCTACATTATATGCAATAAATAATTTTTTTCATTTTTATTTTTGGTTGGGTTTTACAATGCACCAACTCAGCATAGATCATATGGTGACTTTCCAGCTTTACTTGTGGAGGAAGACTTTGGGTGCTCTTCCATACATTATTTCAGGCATGAACGGGCACCCAGGTAGAACCACCCACTTTGTGTAAGCTAGCTGTATAGCTTCCTCACACAATAGTCCACGTCAGGATTTGAAACACACAGCGTACAGGTGCGAAACAGCTGTAACTTATATTACATAATGAAGGAATTACTTCTGTATTGCACCTATCCATTGACTTGCTACATTATTTTGTAAATAATTTGATAATATATAATACTTATATTTTGGAAATAAGTACAGTGTAAATGTGTCTAAGTACAATCATTTTAATATATGAATAGATTCTAAACGTTACGATTTTCATTTTAAATACATCTATTTACCTTTCTTAAACTTTTTAACAGGTATCTTCTTAAGATGTTTGGCCGACAATCGAGATCGTCTCTTTCTTCTGAAGTCTCGGCACCACTTTACAACCTGTAACAGTTTACACAAAATATCATCAAATGATACAACAACAACAACAGATCTACAAAATTATCTTAACAACAACATAGATATGATAATTAAGATTCAATAACTATAGCAAAAATTGACAACTCTGTGCTTTAAAATAAGATATAGTTATAGTAGTTTTTTTAGTAGTTATAATAGTCTTTTGAAGAAGAAAAAACAACAACAAAAAACAAACATGTTCTGTTTGTTATCTTAAAGGCACATTATGCCACAGAGATCTATATTGTTTTAATTCTTTAGAAATGTCAAACATGTGTTTGTAATTATGTTTAAATAATGGATTAAGAGCATGTAAGATATTTTACAGGTGAAAAATAAGGGCTGAATATACAGTTATGTCATGAAAGTAGCAAAATGTAAAAAAGTAGTACTTGGAGTTCCATACAAAATAATAATTCACTATAACTATACTAATTGCCAACAGAGTTAATGATGCAAAATGTAGTTCAGGTATATTGCAATAGAGTTATATTTTTGGAAACTGTAACAAGATACCAATAATAAACAGATTTTGAGAAAGAAACAAGGGTGCCATAGTCACAAAATACGCCCGTTTACGAAAGCTTTAGATGGAGATGGGGGCATTATGGATAAGTGTTATCTAGCAAGCAAGTTTTTATTCTTGGCACTGTGTTGTTAAATGAACCTTAAAACAAATCAGTAGGGAAGATATGCACAGGATGTGTGACCTTGACCTTGGTCGCAGGGACCTGAATTTTATGCACGGCACTCAGCCTCACAATGATGAACATTTGTGCCAAATTATATTGAAATCCCTCTATGCATGTAGAAGTTTTGCTCCAGACAAGCGTTTTTCTATGAGCTCTAACTGTGACCTTCACCTTTGACCTAGAGACTTGGTTCATGTGCAGGGCACTACGTCTCATGGTGGTGAACAATTCTATAAAGTAACATTAAAATTCCTCCATGCATGTAGAAAATATGCTCCGGACAACATCTGGATATTTAATCATCTCCAGTGACCTTGACCTTGCAAATATTAACCTAAATTAAATGTGTCACACCTGTAGTCATGATAGTTACCATTTGTGCTACAATCCATCAATAAATGATGACTAAATGGTCCCTATACACATCTTCAAATTTTTATCTGAACTTTGACCTCTATGTGTAACCTTGACTTTGGTCGCAGGGATCTGAATTTTGCGTGCGACACTCAGCCTCACAATGGTGAACATTTGTGCCAAGTTATATTGAAATCCCCCTATGAATGTAGAAGTTTTGCTCCGGACAAGCGTTTTTCAATGAGCTCTAAGTGTGACCTTGACCTTTGACCTGGAGACCTGGATCATGCATGGAGCAATACATATCATGGTGGTGAACATTTCCATAAAGTATTATAAAAATTCTTCCATACATGTAGGAGATATGCTCCAGACAAAATCTGGATATTTCACCATCTTTAGTTACCTTGACCTTGCATATATTAACCTAAAGTACATGTGTCACAGCCGTAGTCATGATAATGACCATTTGTGTTACAATCCCTCAATAAATGATGATTAAATCGTCCCTATACACATCTTCATATTTTTATCTAAACTTTGAACTCTATGTGTGACCTTGACCTTGGCTGCAGGGACCTGAATTTTGTGCATGACACTCCGCCTCACAATGGTGAACATTTGTGCCAAGTTATATTGGTATCCCTCTATGCATGTGGAAGTTTTGCTCCGGACAAGCGTTTTTCAATGAGCTCTAAGTGTGACCTTGACCTTTGACCTAGAGACCTAGTTCATGTACGTGACATGGCTTCTCATAATGGTGAACATTTCTATGAAATTTCATTAAAATCCCTCCATGCGTGTAGGAGATATGCTCCGGACAAAATCTGGATATTTCATCATCTTTAGTGACCTTGACCTTGTATATATTGACCTAAATTATATGTATCACAGCCATAGTCTTGATAATGACCATTTGTGTTACAATCCCTCAATAAATGATGACTAAATGGTCCATATACACCTCTTCATATTTTTATCTGAACTTTGACCTCTATGTGTGACCTTGACCGCTCTATGTGTGACCTTGACTGCAAGGACCTGAATCTTGCGCGCGACACTCCGCCTCACAATGGTGAACATTTGTGCCAAGTAATATTGAAATCCCTCCATACATGTCGGAGATATGCTCCGGACAAAATTGGACACCGCCCGCTCGACCGCCAGGGGCGTTCCCATAATTCGTCCTGTTTTTCAAACGGGCGTATAAAAATGATGGCATAATGGGACTTTAAACTGTTTAATTTAATTTGAGGCATTAAAATATCAAAATAATCCATCAACCGACAGATCACTACATGTTAAGATTACCCAGATGTTTTCTCAGGTCTGGCTCTACATTGATGGCATACAAAATATAGCTGCATGTATTTGAATGATCAATTAATCAGTCAAATTTATTCCCTTTAGCTTTCTGTCAATGTTGCAATTTTTTTAAAGAGCAGTGTCTTTATTCCTAGATATAAAAAGTCTGTTTTTTACGGACAAACACAAGTAACATAGGGAAGTTTATAAAGAGAGGTCTTCATTCTTAATTCTCTAAAGTCTTAACTTTGCCTTTCTGAAAGAAGCAGCGAATACACTAGACTTCACATGTTATTTATTTTATTCTGTTAAACTTTCTATAAAAAAAACTAAACAATAAATACAATTAATCACACAAACAATTATGGAATAAAGAGCATATTATCATAACAAGCCAAACTTTTTCCATTTAATTTTACTTCTACATTATAGGGGTCAAGGATGAAAACATTTCAAGACAAGTCTGCAACAGCAATAATTCTAATTATTGGTCAATTTCTTATTCCTGGAAGCAAATAACCAATCAGAAACAAGAATTTAAGACTAGTCTCCAGTTTTAAATTTTTCAACCTTTGGCCAAAATCATATACTGCAAAATTATTATTTTCGGAAAAAAAATAATTTTGGGGTTTTTTTGGTATCAAACCACAATTTAAAATCCAACAAAATTTGTATTTCATTTTTTTTTTTTGATGATCCCCCATTTTATTTAAAACAAACAAAAGGGATTTTCCCCCCAAAAATTGTTTTTAAGGTACAATCATTAGTAAGATTAAATCTAAAAAGTTTTTTTTTGTAATACGTACCGAAAAGATTTTGCAAGTTTCCTTTCGCGACAATTCCGCAAAATTTTTACCCCAAATTTTTTAAAAAAATCCCCCGGAAAATTTTGCTTCAACCGATAAAAAAAAAAAAAACAGCGAAATTTTTTTATAATTACTCACACAAAAACATATAAACAAGGTGCTTTGAAACTATAAAAATTATGTAAAGTGATTGACCCCGAACAAAAATTTCAATTATTAGTAATATCATCTTATTTTGTTATTCCTAGCACGGCGTATACAAAAGCGTTTACAGTTTGCGTACATTGAATGACTTGGATTTTAGTTGCTTGGAGTAGGTGTAATCTTTTGTTAAAAATACTATAGCGATCAACTGCTACATTAACTAGAAATGTGTCATCATGCCACGGATGCCCCCGCATGCAGCCAAAATTTCAGATGTTATAATATTTAGTTCCAAATTTGTTTGCACAAATTATTTTTTTCATTTGCAGTTCAAAGCCCTTAAAACTTTCAAATGTTAACACAAACCATTTTCATACAATGTTCAAAGCACTGAAATTATTTAGTCTTAACCTTTTGAAAATAGCATATTTCATATTTGTAGCCAAAATAATGGCTACATACATTTCCACAAAGGTATGAGTGCTGAAACTGAAAGTTCAAAATTTTTCCAACATTCAAGAAAGATAAGTTTGTCCAAAATCATTGAACCACGACCAAATTCAAACTTTCCACAAAAGTATGAGTGCTGAAACTGAAAGTTCAAAATTTTTCCAACATTCAAGAAAGATAAGTTTGTCCAAAATCATTGAACCACGACCAAATTCAAACTTAAACTGCTTATTCCTAAGATGTATCTATATTATTTTCAAAGTGAAAGGGACATAACTCTGCCAAAAAATCATCGAACCATGACCAAATTCCAACATGACCTACCCATTCCTTTGACATATCCATATGTCAAATTTGAGTTGAATATGTAACACTGTTGGGTAGATAATGAACAGAAACTGTAAATTTCATATTATTTTCAAAGTAAAAGGGGGCATTACTCTGCCAAAATCATTGAACCATGACCATATTCGAACTTGGCCTGGGCATTCCAAAAACGTATCCATATGTTTAATTTGAGTTGAATGTGTTGTACTGTTGGGAGAGATAATAAATAGAAACTGAAAATTTCATATTATTTTCAAAGTGAAAGGGGCATAACTCTGCCAAAAATCATTGAACCACGACCAAATTTTAACTTGCCCTGCGCATTCCTTTGATTTATCCATATGTCAAGTTTGAGTTGAATATGTGTTGTACCGTTGGGGAGATAATGAATGGAAACTGAAAATTTCATATTATTTTCAAAGTGAAAGGGGCATAACTCTGCCAAAAATCATCGAACCATGACCACATTCAAACTTGACCTGTATTTTCTCAAGACATATCCATATGTCAAATTTGAGTTGAATGTGTTGCACCTTTGGGGAGATAATGAACGGAAAACTGAAAATTTCATATTATTTTTTCAAAAGTAAAAGGGGCATAACTCTGCCGAAAATCATCGAACCATGACCAAATTCGAACTTGACCTGTATTTTTCTCATGACATATCCATATGTCAAGTTTGAGTTGAATGTGTTTGTATCGTTGGGGAGATAATGAACGGAAACTGAAAATTTCATATTATTTTAAAGTAAAAGGGGCATAACTCTGCCAAAAATCATCGAACCATGACCAAATTCGAACTTGACCTGTATTTTCTCATGACATATCCATATGTCAAATTTGAGTTGAATGTGTGCAACCGTTACTTAGATAATGAACGGAAACTGATGATGACGGAATGACAGAATGACGGAATGACGGAAGACGGAATGACGGAATGACGGAAGGACGGAAGGACGGAACAGGGTAACACTATATGCCCCGGCATTACATGGCGGGGGCATAATAAACAGCTGTTATGTTGTTTATAATGAAAGCGATGTACAGTATGATACTGTTAAAGTAGCACGACATAGCCGTTACATAAATCCAAACGTCTGGACTGAAAATAAAAACCGGTAAATTTCCTGCTATTTTTAAGTAAAACACTTGTTCTATTTTATAGATATTAAGGTCAATCATAAATCGCAGGAATTGCGGCATCATTAATGTGACATTCATAAATGGAAAATTGGCTAAACTGCATGCGCATATACAGGGGCGGAGACTGGGAATAATTTTATTTCAATATTATTTTTTCATGTTTTGGACATCAAATACATGTAGGTTTATACCGTACGTTGTTCAGCCGTTGACTTCAGAAAACTGTAATTTAGGCGGTAGCGACTTAATATTCGCGGAATTCGCAGTTACTTCAAATCCGCGAAAGTTTTTCACCGCAAAAATGCAGACGTTGTGAAAAACGCGAAATATTGTATCCGCGAACATTTCTAGGTATACAGTATTTAAGAAGTTTGAAAGAAAAGCCAATAATATGTCTTCTATTTGCGGTCACAGATGTAGGAAAGCAAGTTTGTATCCGCATACTAGTACATAAAAATACTGTAAAAAAAAAATAATTTCTCACCATAAAACTAAACATGAGAACAAAACAGGTTCCTATGACAACAGCAAAGGGCCAGAGAATATAGGGGATATCAATGCCCTCTTTATCATCTATGTAAACCTTGTAGCTGAAATTAACAGGCCAAGTTTCTCACCTCGCACTCTCTCGCTCTCGTCTCGTTCACCTTGTAACAAGTATTATTATAACACATGCCAAAGGTATGGTTTTCACTGTATGGCTTGTGAAGTAAGGAGTGGATTGTCTTTAAGCTTAATATTTTTATTGGGTGTGAGGAGCCCATGTTGATTTGCGGCAGTAGAAAAGAGTTTCCGACTAGAGCCAAAGGAGTTTGGCAATAGCCCAAACTGTAATAAACAAATTGAATTAAGATCTAGAAACTGCTACCTGTTATCATTAACATATCTTTAGCTTTGAAAATGTTTATTAAGAATTTCTTCTGACTTTGAATACAAAGTCATGCATATATTTCATATTTTTCGAAAAACATCTTTTAAACTTAAATATATATAAACTATATCATTCCGAAACTAGAATTCCATACAGACATAAATTGAGAAATATTTACTACACAGCTATACAATGAAAGATTTTTTTCACCACAAAACAAAAATAATGAACAATACATGTAGTTTCTCACCAAGAACACTATCATTATGATAAGGCAGAGTCCAACAACTGTAGCAAACAGCACAAAAAATACAGGGTTGATGTAATATGCAGGCTCATCATTGTCTATGGTGACCTGATAACTGAAATTATATATGTTTATGACTCCATTTCGATAAACGGAAAAAAGTCGTTTTCAAAACGTGAAAGAAGGAAAGACCACAGGGTCACAAAAGAAAGAAAGGTCAGTTTTGGATTGTGGTGTATTGTTAAGATTATAGACTCAACTTTCATTTCAAATTAATTATTTTGAAGAGTTTTAGAACACACTGATATAAGCGTGTGGCAGCTTTAAAACAAACTTGATGGTGTAGGAAAATGCCACAGGTTCATTCAAGTGGTCAGGCACCATGAAAGAAACCAACCGAAATATCTGCACAATCTAAATTAGGACTTTCTCTATCATGAAAAAACTAATGGAGTTTAATATTTTAGAAGCAAGTGCACTAGATCGGGATGTCTGCTATTATTTGGCGAACAACAGGATTTGTTTATGATTTTTAAAGAGCATGCAAAACAGAAAAATTGAAAATGTTGCTAAACTATTGACTAATATTTTTTTTCCCTAATTTATAAGGATGATGCCTTTAAGGGGGGTGATTATGAGAGACATGTTCAAACAATCATATCATTTCTTATTGTTTACCAAACTGAACGAACTAGAAACAAATCCAAAAGAAATACAAAGTTTTTGCCTAGAATTTTTCGCAAATCAAATTATAGGAAAATCCCTGTATACGGAAAACGAGAGGATGCTTACAATATAATGTCTTAACCAAATCCTGTAAACTATTTAAAGACATTTTGAGGTTTTTATAAGGTAGATAGGGGCAGCAGAATAAATACTGTTCAAATAAATATTCACTTGAAATGGCCAAAATCCGTTAAAATACACATAATCTGAATATCAAGGGCAGATAAACTCAAGTGAGATCGATTGATATCGGAGATCTTTTTCACTTATGATATTTTGTCCCAATTCTCAAACATGAATAAGAGATCTTAAAAATTTCTAGTTGAATAATATAATCTCTGAAAAAATTATCTTAGGAGAGCGGTAGAAACTATTTACAACATTTTTAATGTTAGCCCCTTTTCGCGGCTAAACATTGGATGACAAATTAAGCATAGATTACAAGACTTAACACTATTACCAGTAAAGACAGAGCCTATAACAGGGTGAGAGGGTTATCTTGATCCTGTTCCATCTAAAATGAATATCTATAAGAAAATTAATAAAATGGATGTGGCATAATATATATTTTACTTAAGAAATTCAAAACAGAATTAATAAAAATTTCATACTTGACCCTAACTAAAATTTCATATAAATGTGACCTTCACACAGTTATTCACAGATCAAGGTCATACTTGAATTTTTATATATGTGTCCATGTTCACAGTCATTTGAGTTGCATAGGCAAAGTATGAATCAACTCTGTCCACAAATAACAAAATTATGACAAATGAAAATAAAAACACTTTTGAAAAATTTCTAGCATAATCAGGGGACATTTTTTTTTTTACACACTTAAAATCTTCAATGATCAAGCAGGTTATATGAATAAAAAAAAATAAAGGTGTGGAGTGAAATATTATTTAAATAATAACATATCATTGTATAAAATAGTAGAAAAAATCAAAAGCAAGCTTAATATTTCTGTTAGTGTACAGTCTCACTAGAATAGCAATCATTTATCTTCATCAAAATTCTTTATATTATTTCTGCATTAGCCTCCATGACATTCGTTGACCAAAAGCATTGTGTCCATGGTGATATGATAAAACAATAAGCAAGCACAGACCATAACGTTGAAAACGTTTCCTTTCTGTAATGATAAAGCAGAAGCACCAAGGGTTAAGAGATTATACTAAAACTGTATTTGGTTTAGAGATTATAGTGAATTCTGGAAGAGCTATTTATAGAACTTACCTCCTGGCATGGGAATGAGGCCATTCTCATCATGGTAATTGTAAACAATGGCAGCCACTGACCAACTTTGCATATTACGGACCTGGTAAGAAGGGTGTGCCGTGGTAATAAAAGGAAGTGAAAAATACTGGTTCACATTTTGTACACGCATACAGGGGAGCAACACATATGTGTAAGTAACAGTTCAAAATTAAAGTTTAAAGAGGGAATCCCACAAAGGTTTTTATGACATAGGGGCTAAGAAAAACATAATAAACACAAAAATTGATATGAAGTGTAAACACAGGATCTTTAAAGACCCATCAAAAAAGAGAAACTAAATTAATAAAAATTCAGATACAAAAATTAATTTAAGTTTTTTTTTTTTTTTAATTCCACTGAAGTATCTTCAAAAAATACAATTAAACTACAAACTTAATGCAAATTCTGTACAAAATATGAACTTTATAAGCAAAACACTCATTAGGGAAATTCTAAAAGTGAACACTGACATTAAAAATCCTCACACTCCGTGGCAGGGAGGAATGGTAGAGGCATAAAAATAACATAAGAAAACTATACCGTAGTGTGTTAACATTTAGAATTGTAATAATTTATCAATTTTATAGGCACACACATCTATCACTCACACTAAAAAATGGTAAACCCCAAAATGGGGCCCAAAGAAAAAGAAAAACCCATACGATATCTAAATGATCTCATGCTAAATGTCTACAAAAGACGTCCCCAAGATTAAACAAACAAAATTCACTTGGGAAATAATATATATTTCAATTCAATTGGACTGCAATAAAATTGCTATAAATACAAAATCGCCGAAATCCGACGACCTATTTAATGACAAATTTCATTTTTTCAAATATAAAAATAAAGCGAGAGAAAAACATAATTTACTATGCATTTTTTTATGAAAGAGAGAGGAGAATAATAAAAGAGAGGCTGCTGGACAAGGCAGTAAGCAACTGCAAATAATTGCATTGCATGACAGTTGAAAATAAAAACCATGGGATAGTGCAGGAATTTATCATTTAAGTCTACATACTAGGGGAATAAATTTTAAGCTAAAAACGCAATCACTAGAGTTAACTGAACGGGTCTTAGGTCAGTTAGCACTCCACAACTTCGGCATCACAGACGTGGAAGATATGATGATAACCTTCAGTAAGTTATAAGACAATGAAAACCCTGCGAGGGCACGTAAACCACAACAAAGAGGTATGGGCCTAATGAACGCCAAGCGGGAGGTTGGGGAAAAAAAAACAAAAAAAAACCAAGACAACCCACGCCTATAAATATTACATTGAACTAAATCAGTAGAAAGTGATTCACTAGACTGTATCTGTACCATTGTCAATTGCAAGGAGAATATTTGAAGAGATAGTCATAGACACAGTGAAATCAGCAAAAAAGCATGATGTAGTATACAAATTAAGCGAGGAAATTATCGGTTAAAAATCAAAGACGCCTACCGCCTCCCATAGTAATGGGATCATCACGGTTCAATGAATTCTCAGAATTATACACAATGGCCGCCATAAAATGGCGCTGGACATTACGACTCTGTTATAGGAAACAATTTAAATTTTATAAACACATTCTGCGAAATTTCTTACCAAAGAAAAAAAAATTGTTGCTCTAAATATTTAATTATCAACAAAAGAACAATCACAAAAGCATAACAATATCTTAGGTTTTATCAACTGATGTTTTGCTGAATAACAGATTTAATTCAACAATCTCTAGATTACTACTCGAACATGTTATCCACTTGGCCATGCTGCTACTGAATAACAGTCTTGAAATGACCCAGAGACTTTCTAACATTATGAAACCCTATGTAAGTATAACTTCTGTTGATTTTGAAATATTATAAGTTATAAAAGCATTAAAAATTTGACAGATTATATGGCCTTATATAAATTGTTTTATGCTAATAAAACAGGCCATTATGTAAGGTGTATACAAAAAACATCTATTTATACATGTCCATATAAACAATGAATTCATGAATTTGCAGCAGTCACATATAAGTGATTGCCTCAATATTTTGCAACAGTAGGAGTTCAGTCAACACAGTTCTGCACTAACATGAAGAATTATTTCATGACTGTCAAATTCATATTAATGTTAATATAATGCAGTAAAGATAAAGACCAAATTTACTGTTTAATTCAATCAGGTCATCTGAACAGAGAGAGAAAGAGCAATCAAAAATCACACATACCTTTTCAACAAAGGTGCAGTTATCTCTTGCTATCAGGGCTATCCATTTTGTAAAGTTGTCTGGAGGAGGATTCACTGGACGACAGGCATTTGGTGGGTTCACATTGAATACATAACCCTGCAAAAGAAAAATAATGATTAAAAACTTATCTCACTTTTCACTCATTATAGATCCAATATTTGCAACAAAATTATAAAGATCCAATATCAGAAACAAAATTATAATGTTCAATTATCAGCAATAAAATTATAAATATCCAATATAAGCAACAAAATTACATAGATCCAATATCAGCCACACAATTTTAAAGATCAAATATCAGTAACAAAATTATTAAGATCCAATATTGGCAACAAAAGTATAAAGATCCAATATCAGCAACAAAATTATAAAGATCCAATATCAGCAACAAAATTATAAAGATCCAATATCAGCAACAAAATTATAAAGATCCAATATCAGCAACAAAATTATAAAGATCCAATATCAGCAACAAAATTATAAAGATCCAATATCAGCAACAAAATTATAAATATCCAATATCAGCAACAAAATATTGGCAATATAACCAATATCCTGCAGAAGTTTTGTCAAGTAAGTCTCCTGTGTTTTTTTTATACAGAAATGACAAGTGTAATACAGTCACATATTTTTTCAGAGCTCCTAAACAGCCAAAAATTACCCTCCCCCCCCCCCCCCCCAGTTGTCTATCAATAAAGATTAGTCTGTTATTTCGTAGAATAAATTTTAAAAATTACCACTATTCCTTTATCTGGTATAGAAGGTCCAAATGCAGCAGCCTTGTCATAAAAGTAGGTCACAGTCTGAGAACCATTATTTGTTTTCTGAAAAATAAAACAAGACTGTGTTTATTTCAATGGTTTCATATAAACAACCTTTTAAAATGAGGCTATAAATTTTGTATCTTTACCATTTAGTAAACTGTAAATAAAAAAAATAGTGTTGCTTAAGAAGCTAGAACAGCATTGGGTTACTTTGGGTTTTTTCTCTTTAAATAGCAAAGTTGTACAAGTGGAATATCAAAATGTTTTATCAAAATGCTTATTATGACATATCATATTTGTATGAATTATTACTATGATCCATTTTTTGCCTCAAAATTTCTATTGTTTGCTGTACATACTACTTTTACAAAAAAAACTTGTAATGATAACAAGAGCTGTCGGTAGGACAGCAACGCTCGACTATTCTAAGTGCTTGATAGTAAAAAAACGCTTGATACAGTTACCTCCTCCTGTTTACAGGTTGGGGTAATGATGGTGAACAAGTGTGCAAAGTTTCAAAGCCATATGTCAATGGACTTTGAAAATATTTTAACTATTACAAAAACTTTAACGTAAATTCTAAGTCGAAAAAGGGGCATAATTCTGTCAAAATGCTTGATAGAGTTACCTCCTCCTGTCTACAGGTTGGGATCAGGATGGTGAACAAGTGTGCAAAGTTTCAAAGCCATATGTCAATGGACTTGGAAAATATTTGAACTATTACAAAAACTTTAACGTAAATTCTAAGTCGAAAAAGGGGCATAATTCTGTCAAAATGCTTGATAGAGTTACCTCCTCCTGTCTACAGGTTGGGGTCATGATGGTGAACAAGTGTGCAAAGTTTCAAAGCCATATGTCAATGGACTTTGAAAATATTTGAACTATTACAAAAACTTTAACATAAGTGGTTACGCCGACGCCGACGCTCAGGTGACTGCAATAGCTCTACTTATTCTTATCGAATAGTCGAGCTAAAAATGCTGCTTTTAAGAGACTTTATCAAGTTTGGGGGATATTTTTTCCTTTGTGTATGTTAAAAGTATGTCCATAATTATATTAATATGTCAACCATCATGCAATACTTATGTCTAAGAGTATCTTGTCACCTTAGTGCAATAATTGGGTAAACTCCTTAAATAATTCATTGGTAGGTAACCCATTACTGCACTAAGGTGATGATCTGATGTCCACTTAATAAATACTTTGAACTTTTAAGACACAAGCACAGAATCATAGGTGCAACAACAAGAAATACCATATTTTGAATTTTAGTGCACATATATTACTTACCACAACAACATTGCCCTTTGTAACAGCCAGTATCAACACAACAAGGCCATAAACCTTCTGTGTCCAACCTATCATATCTTCTCTTTCACATCAAATACCTTTAAACATAAACAAACAACAACAAATATAACCTCACAGTTTATTCTCTTATAAACAACAAAGCAATTGCCGCTTTGGTACATTTTTGGGAAATTTTCTTTGTTGAAATAAGTCTGTCAAACTATGAGAGTTATGAAACCTGACAGGGAAAGTTACATTGTGATATTTCTTTGATGTGGTAAGTTTCAAATTACCGAGATGGGAGTGACGGGACAAAGTGATTCCTACAAAGTCACCACCACCTCCACCCCCCCAAAAAAAAACAAACAACAAAACAACAGCCAGAAATCGGCAAATGTTAAAAAAAAAAACAGCCAGAAATAGGCAAATGTTCATAACAAAAAACATATTGGCTACATTAAATTAAACTTAAAGTTGTGAATGGAACTTCAATAGGGTCTGAGTCAGAATACCTTAAATTAGAGGTTTTAATACAATGTTAACTAAGTTTTGAAATATTCATGAATTTCATGTTGACAGCCGTGTATTGGCTCCTGCTGTGAGCTTCAGCATTAAAGTAGACAAATATGATCCATTATGTTCTCATAAAGTCTAATCAAGATTGAAATTGTAATTTGGAACAATTATTGGTGTCATTAAATTGGATTTTGATATTTAATTTTTTAGTTTTATGATATTTTTTTCACTTGCCCAGTCTGAGCAACCTTTAACATCGAGCCCTGCCATGTGACTTTACTAAATGTTACCAAAATGCAGTAGACAGATGTTTCACTATTAAGACATTTCAAATTCACTATTAAGACGGTTCACACAAATACATTTCACTGAATCACTCCCAAATGGGAATGTATACCAAAATTATTCTGATATTAATGATATACTTAAATATCTAATATAATTTATTTAAATCTTATTTTCTGATTAAATATTATTTTATTTTTGTAATATAGTTTATAAACAAGACTTTTGGCTGTTGTCTAGCCTGTAACCCCATTGTATCGATCTATTTACCCATAAATCACAACTGCATTAACAAAATTAAAATCTCCCTGAATATTTATTTTGTATCATTTATTTTGATCCTTTTGTCATAATATTTACATGGCAAACATCACTGATATATAGTTTTTAGCTTTGGAATATACGGATATTTACAGACATGTCAAACAGGTTGAAGAATTAGGTCACGCCATTATATCGATGCATTGTGAGAATCGCTCAGTTATGTTATGTTAGCCTAAGTTTGGGAAGCCTTAACCATCTTTATGTTAGATATTTCAGTCAATTAGAAACATAGATGTCTGTTTTAAAATGTCAGCATAAATTTAGGAGCTTTTAACAGACAGTAAATGTACTTTTAATAAGAACACATTATTTATAAGTCTATTTATTATCTACAACGTCTTACGGTACTGGAAACATGTTTTCGATCATTTTACTGCACAAAAATAAATGCGAAAGATTTTCGTGACACTGTTATAAATGTTAACAATCAGTAGGTGACGTATTTTGCAAAAAATCTAAAGATTTGTAAATAGATCGATATAATGAATAGCACGATACAATGGAGTTCCACTATACATAAATAATTGTAATAATAAATAGAAATATTGGTCGAGCAATGGGCTTGTCGAGCACAGGAACGGTGACTCAAAATGCTATTGAGAAGAACATCAAAACCAATGAAACTGACACGAATGGTGTGTAACATTTTCAAAACGGAGGACTTTCGGACTTTCAAAAATAACCAGATAACTTGCATTTTTGTCAACTTTCGATCAACGATTAAAATTTCTCAACATGATGCATAATTTTTTAATGACATTCATAAATGAGAATGTCAAACAACAAACAAACATTTTACAAACTAAACCATTTTATTGTTTACCCGGTTGTCGATATGTTCTGTGTGAAAGAATGTTTTGTTTTGGTGTTTTTATTTATTATTTTCCCCAAAGATGGCGTCTTGTGACATACTATTCGGAATACCTCGCCGATTATGAAACATTAATGGAGGACGTACTAATTGATGGTCTCCGGTCACCGAGTGTCTACGGTTTCAAATACCGTATAAAATGCAAACTCATAAAACCTTGAACCTTGTAAACCTACGCAGTGGTCTCCCTTTGCTTGACATCCCCCGATTCTACAATTATCTGCTTAAGAAATTATTATACTTCATTTCTTTTTTGGTTTGGTATTGTGCACGATTTAGATGAAAATATTACATCAAATAAAGGTCTTTCAATTTGAGAAGAGACATGTGCACATAATGTATGTTTCACTAATTTCACGGCATTGGCACATTTCCGTGTGGCAAGTGATAACATTGGTAAATCAAAGGGCTGCAAGCTCTGTGGTATTTTCTGATCTTTGCAATCTTAATCGTACTGTATATCTGTATTTGTTTTCCTGTATAAGTTTATTTTTGGCGTCCTCGGCGCAATGTGAAAGGGCGACAGCAACTTCTCGAGCCTTTTAGTCGGACATAATAAAATCCGTTTATTCCGACCAGTATGAGGGTGCTTGACTGCGGTCTGGAGACCACAGGGTATTGGTACGCGTTTAACTTTTGAGGCATGGAGGAGCACGTGACCTGTTTTAGGTACATGGAGGAGCATGTGATCTGTAAACCGTACATGATTGGTTAATTGACCTTTTTCGGAAACCTGGATAAATACCGTTGGCTGGTACGTTACAGATAATCCTCTAGGGAATTAGACACCTAATTAAGAACAAAAAACTATTACGTGATATTTTTAATTTTCTATAATTATGTTACCGTTTAAGGTGGAAAAACTTGAATGATGTGTTTGAAAATGATCAATGTTTCTTTATTCAATGTATCTCAAAATGTTACAAACAATAAATTGTTTATACTGAAAATCTACAAAATTAAAATATTCGTAGTGGCATCTGCCATCATAAATACTTGTGTGTTTTACTTTTTTTTTTTTTTTTGCTCGGAATTATTTCATAAAATGGTAGGCCTATTTAATTATTTTCTTAAAAAAGAAATAATTGTTTATGTTCGATCTTCTCCGGTCATCAACGGTCACCAGTTTCCAAAGACCTTCTTCTATATTAATCGATTACTGTCAAATATATTCCAGATACAAACGTTTATTTATCCTCGCCCCACCCCCTGAAAATAGTTAAATGAAATATATTATTATCATTAAAACGTTCCCCGCAGGAAACCATTTTATTAATTAAAAATGAAATGTCGCGATATATACAATGAATAGCGAACTTGAGAAATTTCGCAATGCAAACATTTTCAAATGAATTAACCTTTTCCGTCAATAAATCGCGCTCTTCGGGGTATTTTTATTTATCATTTTGTAGTACACAGTGGGTTATTATGGTTCATGTATCCGAAAGCTGAATAGAATGATGAGTTGATGACCAAAATATTCCGAAAATCTATTTATAGGGGGGTGTACTCCTATCGGTAATTCCCGGTCTCTCCTAGTCTATTTTGACCGGAATTTACTAGTGACCGGCGAATAGTACCACACGTTTATTGTCCGGTCTCTCCCGGTTTTCGAGTAGATGTTTGATATCGTTACAGAACAGAACAAATATGTATACAGTTATATGACTTTTTTTCAAAATGAATGTTTGTCACTTAGTTTGGTTACAATAATTAATAAACACAGATCAACTCTCAAATTTATTGATTATTATTATACATAAACATACAATTCGAAAAAAAAACACCAACAACAACAATAACATGTTTTATAAAACATGATAAAACACTGATACGTTTGTATCAGATAAAAACAATAAATATGTACAATAATTGAAAAAAGGTACATTTTTATGGTATTAATATGACACTATCAATTTTGAAACATTTTATTTAATTTGTTATTCGTGTTTAGTAAAGATGCCGAGGAATTATTCAAAGTTACAAATTAGATTTTATGAATTATTCAATTGATTGATAATTTAAAAAATGATAAAGAAAAATACAAATGTACATGTTTATGTTTTAAGAATAAACAATATTATATATTAAAAGTTTAACCATAATTTACTGACTTTTTCCAGTTAAGTTTTTACTTAATATAATCGTCGGTCAATATGACAATTGAATTCTTAAAATATTAGTAAACGTAAAAACTCAGTATTAAAATAGCACATAAAACACAAAAAAGAAAGAAAACAATATTCATAAAATCTGTATTTTTTATTACATTTATTGTATAATAAACAATTATGCTCAACACGATCGACATGGTAATGTAACCAGTGTCATATAGTTATTAAGTGTGAACAGATACCTTTAGGGGGTCTTCGCTAATAGCGATAACATAATAAGGAACAAGTGTGGTGTTGATCATGCATTTACACATATGGATTATAAATGATTGTATACATGTATATCCGTTGCTAAAAAATCATTTATGTTCATTTTTTATGATAGCCACACTTTATCCTTGCATATCGTGGCCATTTCCAACAAAGACACTAAAAAAAGAATTAAAAAAAAATGTTGACTCGACTGGGATTTGAACTCCAGACCTCTCACACGTGAAACGAGCGCGTTACCCATGCACCACGGAGAATTTATAAAAACATTGGTTGAATAAAATCAAGTCATTCGTAATTTATAATTTCCATTGCATTTTGGGTTAGGGTAATTTCGAGGTATTTTGTTCAGGGTAAACCTGTTGTTTAAAATTGAAGTAAATAATTTAGCAAAAATCTTCTCGCCCAAACAGTCCAACATGTAGAAACTATATATTCAACTACTCGACAGTCAGATTTATTTGTGTAGTATTCGGTCATCGATATCGCTAAAAATAGCATTTTCATTGATTAAAATCATATTCATCCGCGTAATTTGTGAGTGTGCATTTATTGACAATTCCATAAGCCAACGCTACTTTTAAAGTTTGAATGTGTAGTAATTTGTTGGACACTTGTAACAAAATCTTGTTCTTTCTTTTAAATTGCTGGTTTTTAAGCAGTTTTGAGTGAGAACTACATTGCGTTGCTAGGACTGTTGGGAAATATTGTGTTAGACCGTGGATGTTAGCTATGTATTTATCTGATCTTGCGATCAGAAAATACAAAAATACCTCTTTGAGTCATACACCTACAAAACAAAAATAAAATGGGCAAAATATTTCAAATCTGTTTAATTTCAAGTAATGCAGAGCAATATTTAAATACTTATTTCTACAAAATGTTACGAAAGTCCAGGGTCTTTAAAATAGAATTTGAAAGACCCTGGACAGTCCGGTTAGTGTGTGCGTATATCCAGGGTTTATCTAAAAAAAATCGGTTTTAAAATGTTCTTGTTTGTTTGAAAAAGTATTTTTGAAGTTTAAAGGTAAAGATAGTTTGAATATCTAAAAAATACAGCATATTTAAAGCAATTCAGACAACATAAAATATTTGTACTTAAACACAAATCAATCAATCAATCAATCAATCAATCAAAAATAGCTGATAATATATTTGTACGCTAACTAAATTGTTTCCCTTAATTATCGTAAACTAAGAGGAGCACACTTTACATTTTTATTCAGAGTTCTAAGAAAGCAAATGAATATGGTCATTTTTCTATTTTGATTATTGCCTTTTTTTTACATTCCTATAACAGGAAATTTGACCGAATACAGGATCTAACAAACAGAATTTATATTCTGTTTAAATGACCCTCTGATTAAATTAACTGAATTTACTATGACGAGGTCTGACACTGAATCACCCGGACTTTGTTCACAAGTCTAACAATTTTCATGTTTTCTTAAATAAATTTATACCTGTTCAATGATTAATCTATTAAAGCCTATAATATTATATATTTAATGTCGTGCATCACCGTTTCAGTCCGTCTTAAATAACCATAGTAATGCCACAGCGGCACAGCTCATAAGACGCAACGAACTTTAAACTTTTATAGCACACTAAAGTGCCTGATAAAACAAGAATCTTGTTCAAAATCCAACGGAACTTGATGTAAAACCCGAAAAAATTCCTGTCATGTGTACGTTGTATTCATGCGTAACCAAGTTTGTTTATTCGAAAACATCATTTGAAGCGTCCGAAAAATGCCGCTTTTCCAAAAGTAGCAGTTCGGAAAGTCTCTTTCAGAATCATTTAATTTGATAAAAGAAACCCAACACAAGTAAATCTAGTCAGTCAAACATTTTTTTTCGAGTTGCACAGACGTTTTAGACAATTAAACAAATGTTGATGATGATAAATATTAATTTAGCTCAAGTTATCTAGGTATTTCAAAATATTCGATTATTAATTTAGCTGCATTTGACCAATTGATTACTTATAAATTTACTCAGTCGATGGCTTAGAAACGTAACCTACTGTTTTAAAAGCTTTGATATGTTAATATAGGCTGGGATATATATATTATTATATTATATAGGTGGAGATGACTGGGTACATTTTATATGTTAAATTAAAAATGTTGCAATATTAAACACCCCCTAATCTTATCTATATTTAATTAGTATCACATTTTATCTTCCGATTTGATTGTCTAACACCTGTTATTAATTTATAAATCATGATAAAACAAAGAGAAATCTAATTTTAACACGTTTTGTTGCTTGCCGTATCTTGTTTTGACATTCATTAAAAAAAACGGTTACCAGTTGTAATATTGCAAGTTTTCAATCACTTTCAATAACCTCATAGTAAGATTTTAGTTTACAGCAAAACTGATTATGAAATTTGAAAAGAGAATTTTAGTGTTCTGTGTGCTGATAGTTAGTCAGGTAAATTATTAATTTAATTAATAATTAATAACTAAAACTATCTTTATAGTAAGATAGTAAAATAGAGAACATTTTTAATCTTTTTTTTGGATTAACTAAAATAATGGGGTTTGGATAGAAAAGGCTATAGCTGTATCTTTTGCGTTTTTATTTTCCTTCTGAAATGTTCAGTTTATAATTGTTTACCTTTTGTGTTTTCTTCCTTCTGAAATGTTCAGTTCATGAATTATATACCTTTTGTGTTTTCTTCCTTCTGAAATGTTCAGTTCATGAATTATATACCTTTTGTGTTTTCTTCCTTCTGAAATGTTCAGTTCATGAATTATATATACCTTTTGTGTTTTCTTCCTTCTGAAATGTTCAGTTCATGAATTATATATACCTTTTGCGTTTTCTTCTTCTGAAATGTGCAGTTCATGAATAATGTGCCTTTTGCGTTTTCTTCGTCTGAAATGTTCAGTTCATGAATAGTGTGCCTTTTGCGTTTTCTTCTTCTGAAATGTTCAGTTCATGAATTATGTACCTTTTGCGTTTTCTTCTTCTGAAATGTTCAGTTCATGAATTATATACCTTTTGCGTTTTCTTCTTCTGAAATGTTCAGTTCATGAATTATGGACTTTTTGCGTTTTCTTCTTCTGAAATGTTCAGTTCATGAATCATGTACCTTTTGCGTTTTCTTCGTCTGAAATGTTCACTTCTTTTTTTCTGAAGGTATCGACTTCAAACTTCCATTATATATATGTATGTTCCTTATTATCACTCACATAATGGGTGAGACGATTTTATACTTTAGCTTGACTATTTCCAGAATTATGTCGCCCTTGAACGTAGATTTTTTTCTAGAATTTTTTCTTCTTCATTTCTTCAAACTTCCACATAGAAATAATGATATGACAAGGTTTATATTTCCATTTCCATATTTCCAGAATGGTCTCCACTGTATACTTTGAATTTCCCGTTTTATCATATAACTCTTTTTTTTCAGGGATTTATTTCAAATTTCAAACATAATTATGTTCATTATTAAGACCTGCATCGTATGTGGTTAGGTTTGGTTTCCATGCATATTTTGAACTTGGAATTTATTTGAAAATTTATATCTATATATTTTTTTTGTATTTTCATCTTTGTAACTATAATGGGAAATGGCATATAATTGAAAATTGTTATATTTTTTCTCTTTTCTTCGTTATTACTATAAATGGTACTTACTTTACGCTTAAGATAATTGTTATTTGTCACCACTCTCATTGTGTATGACAATGTTCATAAGTCTAGCATCTTTTAATCTCCTCTTTAGTTTAAGCCCCTCTGTCTGGCCGTCCTGAGATTCATTTTAAAGACACTGGAACTTTCCGACAAATTTACTTCAAGTAGAGAAAATTTGAAGCATTAGTTATACATATTCATTGTAAGAAAATTGGATCTTTGGATTATCTGTTGTATAAACATAATTTCCATACTAGGCAGGGAAACTTAACACATTACTATGATACAGAAAAATTAAGAACTCAAAAGATTTAAGTTCATTCATGTCATTCATTCATTCAATGGCAAAATGGAATGGCCAATGGAATGTTGCTGTGTTTCTTACCAGTAGGGGACTTATGTATTGCTTGCAATACTTTGATAATTGCTTATAAAAATAAAACACAATCTAAGCATTTGAAATATGAAAAATAAAAATACATTTGATAAAATTAAGCATTTATCTCGAGACAAAGAATAAGTACTTGGTTTTGTTTCCCATCACCATGCAACGCAAAACAAACATGTTTATTAAAGAAAATATGAAAAATACAATATATTTTATTATATAGATAAGATGGAATTCAAATCTTGAAATTCTCTTAATTATCCGATGCTATAAACTATCTTAAAAAATAAAGAAAAGCAACTATCCCCTTTTATTGCACAGTTTACATTTTCTGTAATAAAGTCGGTGAAACATTTTAGAATTAATCGCCTCAAATATGTATCTCTTGATACAGGTTGAGAATGTTGTGAAAGCCAGCACAGAAACTGATGGACATATCCATGTTGCAATTGAAGTCCTTGACTTTCGAAATATTGCTGGTACTAGGTTTCTGAAGCCTGGGACGAACGAAGCTAGGAAATGTTGCGATTCCAGCAATAACACTAATTGCAGCATAGGGGATGTTTGTGATAAACGATTTTCTCTCTGTTTGGGCAGGTAACATACTTATTTTCAAGAAATTGTCCGGTATTGTGATCTAAAACCCGGAAAGATTTTTTCAATTTTACCAACATAAAATGAATATAACAAGTAACGTTTCTAACAGAATTTCATTATTTTCAGTATTTTTTTTAATGAAATGACAGTATTTTTTTAATGAAATGAATAAAAGAAAGAAGATAAAAAAAATGCCACTGCATATATGAAACATGTAAAGAATCAAATTAAACAGTGATTTCTCAATCTTACGCAGATAAGAATACAAATGTAGATCAAATATTTATGATAACTAAAGAAAATATTGCATTTTATATGAAGATACTAATTGATTATTAATTAAAGAAACAATGTAACCCTTTAATTACAGATCATCCGGCCAATGGCCAATACATTGTGAAGGCGTACTGGTAAATTCTTCTAAGGTTTTTACTGACATGAATTCAGCCAAAGGGCCGACAAGTGTGAAGTTTGCGATATTTAGTCTTATATCATTGAATAAGGTAAATGACTGGTAACAGAACTTAAATATATCTGTATTTGTTGATAAAATTCTGGCCAAAACTTTACAGTATCCTTAACGTTTCAAACAATCAGCTTATCTAAAGGTGTAATATATTATTTTTAGATAAATCGTTTCATATAATTTTTTAATCAAAAGAATTAAGGTGGAAAATGAAATCTGCCGTTGTAAAAATACATAAACAATATGGAAACACCTCGATATGGAAACACCACGATATGGAAACACCTCGATATGGAAACAACTCGATATCTTTATCTACCGATTGCCCTCTCTATATGTGTATTTGTAAAGTGAAAACTTTCTTTTTCAGATAGAGAAGTTAACAATTTACATGATTTACGATGATACTGTTCAGGACAACTCGATACATGATGACGAAATGATTAATTCATTCACTGGTAGCATAGAGACAGAGATCGACTCAAGTTTCTGGACAAGTAAACAACATTTGATGACACTCACTAAATGTGCCAGGTATTACATGTATTTTACCGAACTAAGAAAAAGCATTATATTTGAGTGTATTTATATTTAAAGTTTAAAAAAATTATAAACACGATCATCTTTGAGACGGGTTCATTTGAAAATTTCAGTATACATTTGTATTAATATTCATCATAATAAACATCAACATAATAAGTGCAGAAAGAATAGGTATGAATAGAGTAGTGAAGATATACCACATTAGTTCATTATTTTATTTCAGCGTTACTCTTGGCATCCGTATGTTCTGTGAATCCAACTATTATGGCGAAAATTGTACCCAGCATGTGACACCAGACATGTTTCACCACATAGATATAGTCAATGGATCTACCAAACATGTTCTTGACTGTAAAACAAATGGTTTGTACTCGTTTCTTAATGTTTTAATAATGGATTTAGAGTATGTATCCTAAAGGTAGCACAATGTAAACAACCTAGTGTTTTGACCGCCATACAAAATATCAAATCACTTTGACAATGCCAGTTGCTAAAGAAATAAAGAAGCAACAGATGGTTCATCTTTTCTTTCTTTATTCATATGAAAATTGAATTTAAACACGTTTTTATGATTGACACAAAATTAAAATTTGTGTTACAATGTTAAATACTACTGAGAAGTGACAAGGGTCTCGCAAAATTGGTTCGGGCTGTGGTAATTGCAAGCAACCGTCCACGCCCCCTACCACCGGCCCAACAAGAATTCAACATTTAACACAAACTGGTTACGGACTAACTTGACTCTGTATTAGATGGTAAAAAAAACTTTTCTAGGTTCAAGCAAGATTGTCTGATAAACAGTTTGTAGTAAATGTACTTGTAGAATATACCTACACTTACCATCGTTTGCTTTGAAAATAATGTTTGTTTAGAATCATTCATTTAAAAGAAGCTCCTGAGGTCTTAAAGCATGAAAATATGAAATTTGAAAATCTGACATAGATTCAATGGGACACATAAAACGGGAAATATGCGAAGAAATGAATTTAAAATCGACCTTTAGTGCGATTTTTAGCCAAATTTGAGTTAAAAGTGTTTTCCATTTTAGGTAATTTTACACAATAAAAATGGTTATTCTGGAAAAGCAGAGTGAGCGAATGATCTGAAATTTTACATACAAATTTTTATTTTTTATGAGTGACAACGTAGCTGGAAGTTAAATACACATTTAACTATTTCTCAGTTGTAGCGTTATTCTAAAATAGCCTGCATTACATTCCATTTCATTATTTCGCCTCGTTTCATATTATAAGGCGACTGTTGAAGAACAACTTATGTATTTTGGCACCAGAATCGAATAATTTTGTGTAAATATATTTACAGGTTCGTCCGTGATAAACATTCTCACCACGGACCCGTATAAATACACACTACCCTACCTTAAAAAGAAACTGATGTTGTTTTTGGTTGACAAAGTCTGTTCGTTATCTGCAAATGACGTCATTGTAGTTATTGACAATGTTAGATATACAAAGTAAGTTCTCAGGTTTAGAAAATCCAGTAACAAAATAAAAATCAAAGCACAGAAGGCGCTGAATTTGTTTGGGTCTCTGAATGTCAGAAAGGTGAAGGTTGTGAGATTATAAACCAATTTGTTTTTATATAGTGTCACCAATGCTGCTTCCAGTGTTTTAACTATAATAAATTAGCTGTAAGACTAATTGCAACTCAATGTTTATTTGGCTTAAACAATTTAAAAAAACAAACAAAACAAAAAAATGAGATGAGTTGCCTTAACCGGGATTTGAACTCCAGACCTCTCGCTTTGTAAACCCCTCGACCACGGTGAAGTCATAAAATAACACTCCATATTATTCTAAATTAGGGTTTGTAACCCTTATTAATTTCGATATATTTTTTTCACTGTAAACCACAATGTTTAACACTGATTAATATAAGCATGTATATCTATAAGAATAACACAATATTAGAAATCTTAGACCAATCGAGAACTATTTTTTCTTTAAGAAAATTAATGCGCCTGCCATTTGACAATCTTTACGCAGTGATCTTCCCTTAATTTTTCGGCGTTTGTGTACATATAAGGGGAAGTAGCCGCTTCGAGGAGTTTGGACTACTTTCGGTATTGGTGATTAAGCACATCAGGGTCTGAAATTTCGCTACCATTATTTGTTTGGTCTGACGACCTAAACATTGACGACCCAAACAAATAATTAGTGGTTCTTACCGTTTTGAAGACAATTCTTTTTATAAAAAGTAAAATGTTCATTTCTTTCTGTAGAAGTAAAAGTCAATCAACTTGTCATTTTATAATGTATGTTGGCCGAAAACGATGGACAGAAAAGGACTTTTGAAATCTAGTATTAAAAGCATCATCAAAAATTAATATATGTATGTAAGATTTATGTCTTACTAGCGACGTGTATATTTAAACGTAAATATGTATATTTAAAGCGGAAAACTTCGGGTTGCATTTAATGGTAACTGTCTAGCACCAATCACTGATCTAGAGGTTCAACATGCTTTGAATTACATGGAATCAGACGAAATCGTCAAATACTTTGGTGATAATGTTGAAAGGTTAGATGAAACGCCACTGATACGACAGGCATGTTCAACTTTTGAATTAATTGTTTCAATGAAATCAAAGTAAATGAGGAATATAGATGAATTGTTATAACAAATATTCAAATTTATACTGAAGATATCGCATTGGCAGATGATCATATTGCATTATTATTCATCATAGTTTTGACTTAATTAGTTAAAAAATTGATCTTTTTTCTTATTGATGAAGATTCGGCCTAGTTTCTTTTCATCAAATGAATGTTAGAGCATAAATGCTATAAGTTATTAACTTCTTTCATAGGGACGTTTCAACATAGTGTACCGTTTATTAGACGTTTTTCGTGGAGAAAAATACAAGGGCTGTGAAGGGAACAGATGCAATATATCTTTACGGATAAGTTACAGAAATCAAAGGTATTCTAGTAGTAAATGTTAAATTCTGGTTCACTACGTACCGTGTTTGACACCGTATAACGTTACCGCTGTTAAGTTTTCAGATATCTTCTATCTACATTTTATTGTTAATATGTTCTTTTTCGTATCATCAAGTTGCTTGTTTACTTTTTCATATTTACATTAAACGAACATTTTAAAGAATTTTGTTAAAATTTCATTCATTTTAGGTTGACTAGATAGTGAGACGGGTTGTTGTCTGTTAAAGTTTTATATGTAACTTATATGTCGTTGACTTCAAACCACTTGCCCCTCACCGCTGTGGGTTCGAATCCCGACAGGGACTTTGGATTCTTTCATGTGAGGAAGCTATCCAGATAGCTTACGGAACGTCGGTGGTTCTACTCAGGTGCCCGTTTGTGCCTGAAATAATGCACGGAAGGGCACCTGAGGTCTTCCTCCACCAGTAAAGCTGGAACGTCGCGATATGACCTATACTGTGTCGATGTGACGTAAAACCCAAAACAAAACAAAAAACACGTCTTATCATCCTCTAAAGAAATTTGACTGCGACTTGGAACAAATGCCTTTGCGATTAAAATAGGAGATCACTATTCATGGCCCATAACTCTGACATGGATTTAGAATGTATTATGGCCCATTTAGAAAGTTCTTAAATGGGGTTTTGCATGCAACACCAATCTTCACAACTACTGAAGATATTCAAGTGTCTTCGGGTTCATAGTTGGAGGTCACTATTGGAGGCTTATAACTCTGATATAGATATTAACTGAATAATGCCCCTCAGTGAACTTTACAAATGCTTTATGAAAAGTCTTGTGTGTACCATCAACATTTTAAACATTGGAAGATATTGACTTGAAATTAAATGCATTTAAAAGGCTTATAATAGGAGATCACTGTTCAAGGCCCATAACTCGGCATGAATTTTGACTGATTTATAGCCCCTTTTGAAATTAGAAAATTCGTGGAGAAGAAAATCTCTTTAGAACGTCCAAACGTAAAAAATGAAAATGTTCCAGGTTCTGTTGATTGCGTCTGTTCATTGACAATGATTTTTAGTGCAAGCTACCGTCTCTGTAAGCGAAATTCAACATTTAACATGAAAAGGTAAAGAATTGAATTCAGAAATTCAGATGTGTTCATACGACATTAAGTTTTTCATGCGACATCAATCTTTAAAACTATCAAATACTAGTAATTCATCTTTTATTCATTTAAACCTGAACATGTCGGGGTCACTGTCTTGGGCCCATAAAATAGAAACACATGAACAATATTTTAAATATGCATACCTCGCTTTTCAAAATGAAGAGGCGGGCCAAGTGATTTTTCTATTATAAGCGACGGAATGAGATTTTTTATTTCCAGTGTATCCAATTGGGATGTGACCTTTAAAGATGAGATGAATTACTGTTTTCGTGGTCTTGAAAATACACAAAATAACACAGTACATATCGTGAGCGGTCTCGCAGCAGTAAGCTTTATATTATGGAACAATTTGTACTAGATTTACCTTTTTACATAATATTTTTATCTGTATGATAAATTTCTCAAAATAGTTATGAAGAGAAATAATTTATTAGTGGTATTTAATCTTTAACTTGAGTTGATTCCCCAGTATGAATTAGTCCCAATTAAAGGACCCAATTTTTAAAGTGTTCGCCAGATGTTGCATGCATTACATTTCAAATGTTTTAAAGCATTTGTTTTACATACCATTGCAGGAGGACACTGCGCCATTAGATATAAAGCTAGAAATACATCCGGTAAAAGAGAATAGGAAAAATATTCTCACATTTAATATTCCAGTTATAAACTTCACGGAAAAATCAGTAGTTGGTAATAGTTACAGACATTTTCATGCAGCGGAAATACAGAGAATTGATAAATTGTCGGGAGTTGGGTAAGTTTACGTATATTTTTGTTATGACCTTTGTATTCCGTTCGCCTGTACATCTATCCGTCCATTATCAAAGATCATATCTCAGTGATAATTATCATACTTTGGTAAAATAATAATCGAATTGAGATGACGCGAAGAACCGACATTGTAGGTCACTTGCTTCAATTTCACAGTAAAAAAATCAAAGGTTTAAAACTAGAAATTCTACATCATACATGTATCTCTTGAAACCCTTAAAAGATATTCTCTTCCCCTTGGAGAAGAAAGCACAACGGACCCCATTTTGGGAAATAAGAACAACCATCAAGCTGCTGATGGTATATTGCTAGGGTGTCTTGCGCACAAGGTCATATGATTATTTCTTCTAAAAGAACATCAAGTACATGTACATGTATTCTAAAGTTATAAAATTTTGGATAATATATATGTAAGTTTCAGACATATTTCATGTATTGGTTTCTTTCCCATTTGAAACATTATATTTGTTTCCTCATGCACCGTTGAGACACCCATGATTGTTAAGTGGGCAAGTTTTAGATTTTTGTTATTATTTTTGTATGAAATGGGAATTACAGAAAACAATTATAAATATTGTTGTTATTATTATTTTTGTTTCGTCTTTTTAATTGTTTATTGGTCAACAAAAACATGTTGTTAGTAGATCTACTGAGATTGTTCATGATTAGACTTGGAACCATGCCACTTTGTAATAATTGAATGCCAAATGACACTTAACTATAAGTCATTGCAACTAAACATCTTTTTTAATTACAAGTTTTAAAATTGGATTGTTTGTTTGGTGTTCTACTGGTTATACGGGAAAACGCTGTGAAGAAAAATGCAACAGTACAGAACTTGATTGCAATTACGAAAAATGCCAAAGTGGTGCGTATGATTTTTAAAAGTAAGATTATATTCAATTATTGTTATATATGACGTGTTGACTGTGGCATGTACTACGATATACATATCTTAGTTCCATTAACATAAGAGCCGCGCCATGACAAAACCAACATAATGCGTTTGCGACCAGCATGGATCCAGACCAGCCTGTGCATCCACGCAGTCTGACCAGGATCCATGCTGTTCGCTATCAGTTTCTCTACTTGTTATAGGGTGCGCAAGCTGGTCTGGATCCATGCATGCTGGTCGCAAACGCATTATGTTGGTTTTGTCATGGCGCAGCTCAATTATATATAAGTACACAGAAATTAAATGTTTGCTATGTGGTTTTAAATTAGCCAATGACCTTGTCCTATCGGTATATCGGATTTTTTTTTTAAATCAAGCATTATGCCTTTCAATTTGGTGACAAAATTAAAGGAAAATGTACGATATAAATTTTATAAAAAAAATTGTGTGACACTTCGAATATACAATAAGTAACTGAATTCTGAAAGCAAAATATCATATAAATATCCAGTTTTTAGAGTCAGGTATCTTTTGGCATTATTTGACAATTTGAATATCGGTATCTTTCTCTACGATTAAGTACCTGGTTGCTGACGGTTTCACTGATTCAAAATTGTTTTATCACTATTTTATCCATTTTTGATATGTTTATGGAACTTGGATTAAATCTTTGAAGTGCTGTTTTTTTAACACTGGTGGCCATTGTTTTCTTAAAAAAAGAGGTTTATAATATTTAAATTGTTATAAACGTTTTCACTGTAGATGGACAGAACAAATATGCTCACACTATACACTGTGCACAAGGAATGTGTAATGACAGCACAAAGTTGTGCGACTGTAATCCCGGTTATATTGGTCCTATTTGCAAAACACATTTAGACCACTGCAAATTTGGCTGGGCGAAGAATCCATGTCTAAACGGAAAGTGTACAAACCATGCCAATGGTTTTACTTGTGAGTGTACTCGGTATTATACTGGAAAATTTTGTGAACTAAGATTAATGACATATGCAAACACAAGCAGGTCTAAACGAGAAGTATTAAACGGAAGCATCATATTACCTGCAAAGTCAGCTTCAAACAGAGCAAAGAATGTTATAAAACAATGTCCCTTTTCAAACAACTGTGGCAATGGAACTTCTTTTGTCTTTAAAGACACTTTGAAATGCATATGTGATTTCGGATTCAAAGGAGACAGATGCAAGCAAGTGGACCATTGTGCGACAAAACCCTGTTTGTATTCCGGGATTTGCCAGAACATAGAAAATACCTTTTCATGTAAATGCCAGAATGGCTTTCGTGGTATTAAATGTGGCATGGTAAATGAATGTGAAGACAGTTTTTGTCAAAACGATGCAACATGCATGAATATTACATCAAGTAATATTAAATGTATTTGCAAGAAAGGCTTTACAGGGAAATTTTGTCAGATCAAGACTTATTGTGAAACTAAAACTTGCACGAACGAAACAAAATGCAACGATCACAACAATGTTACACAAACATGCTTCACACCAAAGACAACCAATCATTCTATGCAAAGTAAGTAATAATAAGATAATGTGAAAAATATAAGTGATATTAAACCAAGCAGTCTTGAAACATATGTTCCGTATTGTACGAAGGTGGGTCAATATATAATGCAATATGGTCAATAAATTTAACAAAGAGCATATATTTTACAATTTTCTATAATTATCTCTTCCTAAAGAAATACAACGTTTCAGATGTATAATCCAATTTTTAAATGCTTCAACGTAGTCCTTTTCAGGTATACCTTTAAATAACAGTAAAATGACTGACCCACGTCCATTTCTACTCTAGTAGCGATGATCTGCAAGATGGTTTTTCAGTCTAGGAAAGAGGGAAAAGTCACTGGGTGCCCATTTTGGAGAATGCGGTGAATGTTGGACAGTCACTTGTTTTTCTCGGCAAAAATATCAATAAAAATACATGTAGCTTTTTTGTATGCAAATTGTTGTCGGCTTTTATGTCAGTCGAACGACTAACTTTTTAACTCTTTTGAAACATGACATTCCTTCAATACTTGGATTGGACAGATAGGAATTTAGATAGCAGTTCAACGGGTATTGAAAGAATTCTCGGCACTTTACAAAAGCTTGGTAATGCATGGTCGACGAACATTTTAGGCGGCCCGTCAAGTGACAAAAGTAGCTTTTTATCAATTGTCACAATATTAGAAAAAACGTCAAGTGTAATATTTAGCAAACATTGTCAGTAATTTTAGAGCGCATTTAACTTGCTCCTTCTTCTGGTCAGATGTTAGCAAATGGGGTATCCATTTGGCAGTATTCCGCTTACCTTTCAGGTGATTCTTAAGAATCGTATGAGTTGACCCTTTTGATATCCCTGCCTATCCGTGGGCTATCTGGGTAGGTGAAAGTCTCGCATGTTTGTCAATATTTGGCTTGACTTTATAAATATGTTTGTCAGGTACTGTAGAGCGTTTTTTACCAGACTTACTGGCATTTTTAATTGATTCGTGTCCATTTTTGAATTTGTGCATCCCCTTTGAAACAGTTGCATAAGATTCTTCATTGTTGCCATATATATTACAAGTGACATTATAAACTTTTAGAGCAGATTTTTCTAGTCCCTATTTCAGCGCTTTTAACTGAGCGTTTACCAGCCATATTTTACACGAAGTTACTCGTGAAATGTATATCTAAATGTGGATAAAAATCTTAATTCATTTGAAAGCAGCTGCCTTCATGCATAGCATACAGAAACACAACAAATATAAGCTAAAGTAGAAAATATATTTCACAGTGCATTACATATTGACCCATCCTCGTAATTGATTTAAATATGGCTTTACACTCAACCATTGTCCTTAATTTAAGTCAAAATGTTGTTATTTAACGTGAAATTACCGTTTGTGATTAAATTCTACTTGTAAAGTGTGAGATGAATGCAATATAACATTAATGTTGTAGCGATCTTTGCTATATTACAAGTTTAAAAGGAGTGTATGCATTTCTACATTATTCTATTGATCTTAAGTATTATATGAAATATATTTGTATAAAATGAAATATATTTGTATACATGATTTTAATATTAAAACTTTGAATGAGAAATGCTCCAATTGTTCACCGAAAAGACTGAAAGACATTTTCTAATGTATTACACATTTGGTGATAGTAAGATTGGTGATATTTAACCATTACATTGACCATTTAATTAAATGATCAACATTTTGTCTTTAACCTTTTACCCCATGAGCATATTGCGAAAAATGGCTGTTTTCATTGGAAAGCCTCCTGTAACAAGTTCAAACTTCTATGAAACTATGAAAAATGCTTCAATACTGATGAAACTTGGCACAAATGTTGACTACACCATAGCCTCTGTAACAGCATGCTCAATCGTAAATTTCCTGTTACCATGGCAACGGGGGGACGTCTCAAAATTGCCAAAAATCACTATTTTGCATTGTTATTTTCCATCAAAACTGATTTCAAAGTGCTGCAACTTCTCAATGAATTGAGATAGAGTAAAAGGCTTTTCAGCGTCGGTTACTAGTTACCCTAAGATCGAACTGAGGCCATTTTTAGCCTGTCACATGTCCAAAATTTTCTTGGCGATGAGGGGGACTCCGCCCCCCTTCAAACCCCCCCCCCCCCCCAAAAAAGAAGGGGGCACATCCCCCTTCTGGCAACCCCCTCATGTAACATTTGGATGGGGGACGGCGCCGAAAAAGTGGTCACTTTTTTTAACAACATTTTTTAAACGAAAACCAGTGTTTGGGGCCTAAATAGGGCATTTTTTCACTGTTTGAGGCCTCAAAAAACACGCTTATATGAGGGAAAAGGTTAAGAGGTTGTTTTATATGAGAGAGAATATCATTTGCTTACAAAACTTATTTCAAATATAACATAATAAACTTAATCAATGTTTAATATTTTACATTTCAGAATTATTTGTAAAACTGCTACCGGCACTTAGACCAGAAGGGATAGATGAAGATAACATAACGGATAGCGTAAAGATGTTGCTGGAAAACATTACACAAAATTGTGCACACGTCAGAGTTATGTTTGATGTGTTTTCCTTTGCAAATGGGTGGGTATTTTCATGACGTTGTGCCAGATGAAATTATATGCACTGTTGTAATCAATCAGGAGTATTTCGTACTGAAATCGAAACATACAATGTAATTTGAACAAGTAGCTTTTATAATAGGTCTCTTCTACTGTAAAGACAGAAATAGTACATGCATTTTAAACAATTGTATGTGATATTTCGGATACATCTGCATTATTCCGCAGATAGTTTTGTAAATTAAAATTTGCCAATGAGCAAGATTCGTGTAAACATACTCTTTTCCCAAATTACGGAAATAAACGGACATAGCGGCGAAGTGCATAGATTTGAACACTATTTGAAACTTTGCAGTGATTTTTTTTAATTAGTAGATACCTGAATTATTCTAACATCATTCAATTTTGTAAATGCAGTTTTCCGTATTTATGATTGTCTAATTGGTTTGGAGAAGATGATATAATAGGTGGAAAATCTAATCGTTAAGTGACTTCTGGATTTCGTCATATAAGCCGAACAAAGTGGAAGTTTAATTCATTAACAAATTTAGGCACATTTTTTCAGATCTAGTAATATCTATATCGGAGTTCTTTGTGATGGTAAGCTGTTGTCGGCAACACTTATTGGACACCAGCTTAAACATTTCCATACAGACGAAATCATCAACATTCTTCATTTTGTACCAAAGAACAACGAAAACACTCCAGCAGCTGAGGTCGGACATGTAAGTAGCAATTGGAAATGAAACAATTATTCGATTTTCGACATTTTTGCTGTTATACATAAAATGACTTCACAGCGATAAAAGCAAAACATGAATTTTTTTAATTTTACTGCATTTATGTGGAATTGAGTGGTGAAAATGCTCAGAGTGGAAGTTGAGGTCTTCTTATACAATGATGAAACATTAGAGATACTCCGGAATTCGGCAAATGTCTCATGCCGAGGTACAAGCACACTTTTACAGATTATAACGATTATAAGCACAATGCTGTATTTGTTTGTTCCCCGGGATTAGAAGAGAAAAACTCACATTTGCCGATTTTCGGATAATATCTACCTATATGTCAAAAGAACATCAACAACAACATACAAATATAACAGATATATCTTTATGTTGATGTGTTTAACAAATATAATTTTTATTTTTCATGTAATCCGAGTACTGTTTGTTCAGACATTATCGTACCAATGTGTATATAACAATTATGTTGGAAAATGTATCTTGAACTTGTCATTTGTAGACATGGATAGAAGATAACTGGGTCATTTTGATAGGCATATTAGTGGCTGTTGTAGCAGTTCTAATTGGACTTGTCAAGTTATTACATATCATATATGGGTATGTTTGAGTCTAAGATGATACGTTGTGTAACCTGGTCATGATTTAAGTACATGTAGAACAAAAGGGATAAAACAGAAATGAAAGTGTTTGATATTTAATATGATAATCGAGTAGAGTAACCAATGATATGCACTTCAAAACGCATTTATGGTTTGGTTAAGACGGAAAGATAGCAAGCAAAAAGCTTCAAACCTTAACTATTTTAATTATTTTGTAAAATAAAAATATTTTTCTGAAATCAAAATGAAATGAGCCGTGTCACGACAAAACCAACATAATGGGTTTGCGACCAGCATGGATCCAGACCAGCCTGCGCATCCGCGCAGTCTTATCAGGATCCATGCTGTTCGTTTACAAACCCTATTACAAGTAAAGAAACTGATAGCGAACAGCATGGATCCTGATCAGACTGGGCGGATGCACAGGCTGGTCTGAATCCATACTGGTTGCAAACGCACTATGTTGGTTTTGTCATGACGCGGCTCGAATAGTATTTGAAATAGTTATTTTGCAAAATAACCGGACAGTGAGCCCACATAGATGTAATATAAAACATGGTAGTGAACAATAAATAAGTTTGACATGTCAATAAGTATGTTTGGCACGGTATTATATTGGCCAGTTGTTTAAATCGTTTATCTATCAATTGTGTAAATTGAATAAAATATCACACATAAATTTCTTTATATTCGACAATAATAAACATAATTGCTAATTACTTTAAAAGTTCAAATCTGCTTGCTTTACCAGTAATTTTCTGCTATATTTTAAGGATAAGACCAGACAGAAGAGTAAAAAGAAAGGTATCACCAATTAGGAAAAGAAACAATTACGTCGATGTCTTTGAAAACGGTACAACAAATCTACAGAATACAGATGAAACAAATAAACCCCATATCTACTCAAGTGGCTTAGGATCAAGTTATGTCATTTATAGTCCGAGCGGCCGCCAAGATAACTTGCAACATGAAAAAAGTAATGGGTACACTTCCTCAATATATAACGGTTCTGCTAAACCACCCTTGTCTAATGATGCCAAGTTTATAAATGCTTCTCATCGAGAACATGGTACTGATGCTGTAAATGAGGAAGAACTACGTGGACCTCATTACGAAGCAAGGTTTCCATCTCCACTCTTGAATGGCGAACAGAACTACCGCAACAGTTACATAGACTCGAAAATGGCTTTCTTGGCCAGAAACCCGATATACGGATTGAGCAGTGACAATTGGTAAAACCAGCTTGCTTCGTGTATACTTGTCATGTATGACGCATATGTATTTTCTATTAGGCTTATTGTATTTTACCATTTCATATCATTTTATTACTATACTACAGTAATGCCATTTTACTCATCAGTACCAGTGTTGTTACTTTTCACTTATATTTTTCGTTTCCATTGCTCTCGAGGATCTCCTCTTTCCTTACCGGTTGTATTAACTTCTTGTACAAAGACTTTTATCATGTTGGAGGGCTCAAACTCATTGTGCGATCAAATGTATCTTGGATGTAGAAACTTATACTAAGTTTTATAGCGCATCATTTTATTGTT